CCATTTGAAAAGCTGCAGAATGAGTGAAACGAGGTAAATTTGACTTTTGTGTGAACTGTGTGCCTTTAGGTGGGAGCTGCCCTCAGACCTGCGTTTTCACACGATACGCCGTCTGACATTACGGCTAAAGCATGCAAGGTAAGACGCTTTTTGATTGGAGGGTTAAAATCCTGTTATTTATTTGTTTAGATCTGCACAAAAGTTGCAAAAACGCCATTTGGCTACAGCAAACAATTCATGCACTGTACATTCAGACTGTAACCTCTGGTGTACCAACAACTCCCACCATAGTTATTATTTGTCAAAACACCAAGTACAGACATTTGCCCATTTTGGTAATGGCCACTGTTGCTGCAGTAAACTACAAGGTCATGTGACCGCCTGCTGCGCCCTCATTTTATATGACCCTATGGCTCCCACAAACCGTACCTTTAATTTCATTAGACTATTTTGGAGTGTCTGTAAGTAGCACGATGACAGGGAACTTTAGGCCCCACATACTCGGGCATACTGTGTGTACTCCGTGAGCCGCGCGGACTAGCCGCAGGTGGCTGAGACTTCATATTCAAGCGTACACCCTGATGGGCTGCAGCCCAGCTCTGCAGGTAAGGGGCTTTTACCTTCGGGACAAATTGAGGTCGATGATTGGTCATTTGCAGACACGCCTGCTGGATTGATTGACAGGTCGCATCGCAGATCCGACTTGTGAAAAAAAAAAAAGGAGAGCTGCCGGCGGCCCTGGGTAGAGGCAGGGCGGCTCAGGAGCAGCAGCAACAGCATTGTTCTGTGTTCATATGTTGTTAAGAAAACGTTCTTTAAAAACAAAACAAAAAAAAAAAGGGAGCGCCGGCCCTGCAGCCCACACATCAGACCGGCCCACCGGGACATCTCCAGACTTTCGCGATCAGCCACGCCAGTTCTGAGCGTAAAGATTTTCATTCTCTCTTGACAAATTCCTTCATTTCTCACAGTTTCAGTCATGGCGTCAACAGACGAGGAGGAAGTGATCGCTTGTTTCTTGGCAAAAAAACAAAAGGCCATTAAACCAGATCAAGGATGAAGAAGGGGGAATTTAATACATTGGTGAAAGACATGAAGACAATGGACAGCGATAAACATTTTGAATATTTTCAAATGGATTCTAGCGAGTTTGATGAGCTAGTTGGGCGCTTAGCCCCGTGTCTTCACCGCCAGGGCGGCCACCGCACACCTGTCGGCGCTGCACAGAGAGCGGCAGTCGCGCTGCGCATCCTTGCGACTGCACGGAGAGCGGTTGGTGTCGCGTACAAAACAGTCCGTCGCCGGGCAGTTTATTGTGCGACACCGAGTACGCGTTCGAAAAAATTGATCTTTCCACGAACATGGACATTCGCTTCAAATCCGCCTCGAGTACACGTGGACCTCCGCTGAGTGAAGTATTTTTTTTTAATTTATTTATAGTGGTGTTCACATGATTTTATTGTTTGTAGTGTATTTAACTGTGGAAGAAGCTTTGTTTAGCGCACGATGTCCAAGACAAATTTCCCCTTGGGAACAATAAAGTATACATCTATCTATCTAAGTATGTGGGGGCCTTAACGGAGACGTTACTGCAAAGTGAGTTATAATCCTTTTAGAGCAGTTGTTCTCAGAGCAAACGGAACAGAATGGTTATGAAATTAAAATTTTTAAAATAAAAACGTGCCTATATTAAAATACTTGATGCATAGTTACTATGATCTTCTTGGGGGTCAGGAGGCTTGGACAATTTCCTTTTTCCAAAATGTTAGTGAAGTAACTGATAGTAAAGAACGAGTGACCAATTACTAAAAATACTTGTTTAGCCGTGAAATAAAACTTTAGGTATTGGAGTCAGATTAGTCAGAGTGACACACAGTCTGGATGCTCTCTTAGAGACACGGTGAGTTCAGTTATCTGGGAGAGGCTGGGAGTAGAACCGCTGCTCCCGCACATCCAGAGGTGGTTCAGACATCGGGTAAGGATGGACCCTGGACACCAGATAATCAATGACTCTCGGATATTCTGTGTCTCTGAAGGTTTGTAGCACGTGGATCGGCAGTGGCGTGGTCAGCGATCTGAATGACCTGAGACGAGTCCACAACCTGCTGGTGTCCTCGCTGGACAAGGTGCAGGCTGGGAAGAGCTCCTCCAGTCAGCTGTACAGTGAGAGCGCCACCACCATGGAGAAGCTGGCTGTGCTGAAGGCGTGGGCGGAGGTGAGCTCGGAGAGCATTCCTCCTTTTTACTCATCAAACTAATCTGACCGCACTCGCTGGCTGTCCTCGTCAGGTCTACGTGGTGGCGATGAAGGTCAAGAAAGAGGCGGAGTCTAAGCCCGCCAAACCGGTCGGAAGAGAGGACGAGGATGAGGACGAAGAGGACCTGGGCGCTGACGTGCTTCCTCCTGACAGTCTCATCACTTTAGTGCAGCCAGAGCTGCCGTCGCTGAGTCGCCTCTGGCTGGCCATGCTGCGGGACTACGCTCTACTCACTCTGCCCGCAGAGTTCTCAAGTCAGCTGCCGCCTGAAGGTACCGCCAGCTTCTTCTCCGTCAGCTGCGAATCTACTTCTAAAAGTGCCCCAGATTTACATTAAGCTTTTGGATTTTCTGTGAAAACGCAGCGTGGACGCTGAATGATTTAGCAAATACTTGTTGAAGAAGCTGAAACTATTGTTAACGTTAAAAGAAGCAAAAAGCTAGCTAAAAAAATAAGAAAAGACACTAGCAAGCAGAACTACTACCTAATGGCTAAAAGTAGCAAAAGTCTATCTAAAAGCTCATAGTAGCAAAACATTACTTAAAGGCAGCAAAATGTTAGCTAAAAGCTAAAGTAGCAAAAGAGTAGGTAAAACATTTTAAAGATATTTCAGCAGTTTAGGTGTTCAAACGTTCAGCTCCTTTAGGAGAACGGTGCTATGACTGTTGGTGCAACTTTAGCTTTTTGAAATATTTAGCCTTTTCTGCCGTTTTTTCCTCAGAGAAAATGAATTGAGCTCATTTTACATCCTTCAGATCTTTATCAATCAACCTTTATTTATACAGGTAAATCCCATTGAGCCTGAACTTTAGATCTGTTTACAATCGTTTACTGCTCCTTTCATATTTTGTTTTCGTTCAGCTTCTTTCATGCAAATTTAAAAATATTTTCAGCTACTTAGCTCTTTTTTTCAGCTGTTTTGTGCTCCTTTCAGATTCTTTCTGCTAACTACAATATTTTTGTGCTGCTTCTAACTTCTTTCTGCTAATTTCAGCTTATTATGCTCCTTTCAACTTATTTCTGCAAGTTTCAGCTTTTTCTGCCTTTTCAGCTACTATTTAACTTGTTTTATGCTAATTTGAGCTTTTTAAGCTAATTCCACACTTTTTGTACTCATTTCAACTTTTTTAAGCCAAATTCAGTAAATATGTGCTCTCACCACGGCTCTCACCACCTCCTTCTGGTATTTAAGCTTCCTTCTGCCTTTCTAGCTACTTCTCAGCTGTTTTTTTTTTTGTTTGTTTGTTTTTGTTTATTCTTTTTCAGACAATTCCCACTTTTTTGTGCTCATTTCTGCTTCTTTCAGCCTAATTGGGCAAACGTGTGTTCTTTCTGCTTCTTTTGCAAATTTAAGCTTGTTCTACCATTCAAGCTTGCTTTTTTTTTTTTAGCTAATTTCAGCTGTTTTCAGATAAATTCAAGATTTTTGTGGTCATTTCTGCTACTTTCAGATTACCGTTATTAACTTCTTTATGCTAATTTTAGCTTGTTATGGTCCTTTCTCATTTTTTCTGCTCGGTTCAGTTTTTTTTCCTCATTCAGCTACTATTTTAGCTAATTTTAGCTTTTTCAGCTAATTCTACATTTTTAGCTCATTTCAGCTCTTTCTGCATTTTCATCTATTTTTAGCCTTTTTTTTTTTTTTTTCCAATTTCAACTTTTTTTGTTAATTTCTTATATTTTGTGCTAATTTCTGTTTATGTAAGCCTAATTCAGCAAATATGTGTTCTTTCTGCTTTCTTCTGCTAATTTGGGCTTGTTCTTCCATTTCAGCTACATTTCAGCATGTTTTTAGCTAATTTCAGCTGTTTTTCAGCAATAAGCATTCACACTGCATTTTCACAGGAAATGC